GATTTCAGCGCGGGGAGCTCAAGCGTCAAACCTATTGCGAACCAAATGAAGCCTGTAACTCTTCTATTTCAGATATATTACATTCCTCCCGATGGGAAGGATCCTACTGGTCATGATCACCACAGATCACCCGTCGTCACTAGGTGACGCGTTCGGCACTGTTTTTTGGGAGTACCCGGTCACGGGATATGGTCGAGTCGAAGTACTGAAAACTCCACGTGCGGCCGTCTGCTTTTTTACGCTCGCCAAAGCGGAGACCGCGGTGACCGCTGAGAGTGAGAGCGCGCCGCCGCGCGGATGGTCTCGCGATTGGATCGCTCGAACTCGGACTAAGGCGCCATGAGCGGCCCCTTCCCGACGCCACGACATCTCGCATTTATTGAACAATTTAAGATTGAGTGGTCTTCTCTTGAGCCGATATATTATGCTCTGAACACTGACATGCATCGTGCTCTGATATAGAGCGTTGTGAGATACGTTATCACTTCGCTCGATTCCGTCAACTCGTCTCTCGTGAATCGTGTGTCCCTGCGTGTGTGTAGGTGTGGATGCAGACCAAATATCGCGCCGGCCTTCCGGACGCTTCACTCGGGAACAGGCGCAATCCTCGCCTTGATCCGATACGCTAAAAAAATCGGCTCAAAAACAACGCGGAACAAATCCGAATCGATTCTAGAAGGTTCGGAGTCTCGCGGGTGAAGGTTCCTCCGCTTCTAGTGTAGCCGGTGTATGACGAGGAATTCGTCCCCGTGAGCCCTGATTTGAGAATGTTTCGTCTCATGGGTCCTCGCCCCGTCAGGAGGCTCCAGGTTGTTCGGAAACCAAGTCAAGGGAGGGCCCCGAGCAGCTCATCAAGGTATACCTAACAATATCAAGTGCCAACATACCACAGAATAGCCCTCCCGTAACTTTTGTGGACAGTGGAATTCCCTCTCTGCTGAAATGATTAATTGTGCCTGTCGATGTCTATGTCCTTCTTCGGCCGGCTCCTCAACCGGCCGGCTCCTCAGCCGATTCCCCGGCGTGATGATTCGATTCGAGCGGAAACGACCGTTCTAACTTTCGTTCCGCCTTTATTGTACCACCAGCGCTAGAGTGGAATACAGGGGCCGTACATGTCT